CTAAGTAAAATGATTTTTTTTTCAAATAATTTTAATGTTTTATTGGACTTGCAACGTAAAGTGAGAACAAACTAATAAGATCTAAAAAGGAAATATTGATAATATAAAGAATGCTAAGATTGTTTAATAGAAGTTGAGAAAATTATGAATAATAATGGTATTAATACCTGTCAAATTTTATTTTTTAAATAAACAAAATTATAATTTAAAAACAAAAATCATTTCTCCTTCAGAAGTTCCTTTCTTTTCCATTGAACCCGGTGCAATTTAGGTCAAAACAAGAACTTCTTTATGTCTTGTTTTTTCCCCCATTAAACTCATTGTTAATAAAGAGATATCGCAACTCATTTAGAGGTCTTTTCTCTCCAGTGAATTCGAATCTTTTAACTCAAAGGAAGAGCTATTTGTTGTATTTCAAAGTGCTTTTTCTGCTAAATAGTCAAACTTTTCTCGAAATTTAATCTATTTGAAAAGCAATTTTAGAATTTTTAATTTAGTATTTGACTTTTTTTTTATGATTTAGTTTGTCGTTTAGTTTTTTACCAAAACTAATAATCACATAAATAGTTCTATAATAAAAATCATCCAATAAAATTTATTTGAGACTCTCTAAAAAAAATTGGGATCACTCCAAATTATTTTTTATTTTTCTCAATTTTGTATATTTTTGATGTTCAGAAAATAAAAAATATATATATTTTCGGATCTGAAAAAATTCTGTAAAAAATTAAATTGGATTTTTTCTAATATGTATGCAAAATCTTAGCTCAAAATACCAAAAATTAAAATTTTAAAAGCAGAGAGTGATAGTTAGAAATCATAGGATGGGATGAATCTAAAAAAAAAAAACATAAAATTTAAGAGCGTTCAAATCTAAAATTAATTGATTTTCAAATAAACTAAAATGTCGATAAAATTTGACCTATTTAGCCTCCTTTGTACCCGTTGAACTTGCTGGACCTTAGCTTTACTAGAGCTAGTTTAGATGTCCTTTCTTTTCATCGAACTGATTAGACTTAAGTTGGAAAAACGAGCTACCATAAAACAGGAGCTATCCATAAAATTTTTATAATTATTGAGGTTAATTTTAACTTATCCATAAAATTTATGGATGGTGTTATTAAAGTGTTTGTTAAATTATTGATTAGTTTTACGTGAATCGCATAGCTAAAAATGTTACCCTTTCTTAATTTGAATCAAATTCTAGTACGTACCATATAATATTAAAATATTAAATTACCCTATAATTTTTGCAGGAATATTGAGTGAATAATATATATATATATATATATATATATATATATATATATATATATATATATATTTAATATTCGGAAGTTATCAAGAATTTATGTTGGGGTCTTATAGCAATGATAAAAATAATAAAAAAATAATAATTTTAGTATATTTGAAAAGAATTACTGCTTAAAGTTTTAGGTGTTACTAGTATTGAAACAAAAAGAATTGCACCAAGATGTTTAACTGCTATAGTGAAAATTAATCTATTTTATAAAAAAGGGACTTAATGTCAAATAGATTAATCTGATTAATTTTATGCCTTTTATATATGAAAATAGAAAACATATACTATATTGTACCAAGATGCCTTTTATATGAATATATAATTGATTGGCATGTAATTATTTTAAAAATATTTTGGCATTATTACTTATCGACTTATCGTGTAATATTATAAGAAAAACCTAGAATAATAATCAACCTATAACGATTGATGATAAAAATCAACCTATAAAAATCTTCAATGTCAATTTGTAACTCTTGTTATCACCGGCGAACCCACGTTGATCTGCTATAAAGGCCCGGCCTCCCTCCGATTTTTTTTTCCATATTAGTATAGGACAAACCCGGTTCGGACACGAGAAATTTTATAATACACCGGGAGTAACTAGTGGCATATACAATAGTTACTACATGGCTCCACTTTGAGAAGAGAGATAGACATATAAAAATAAAAAATAAAAATTACATCTATACCCATCAAAAGTGCGAAGAAGATTTTCATGTCTCGCTCAATTATTTTTATTTTCTCTCTCGTTGTTTCTCTCTCTCTCTTTTTGTATGTCTATCTCTCTCCTCAAAGTGAGCCTATGTAGTAACTACCGTACATGTCACTAGTTACTCCCGGTGTATTATAAAATTTCTCGTCCAAACACTACTAAACCCTTAATATCTTGTTATTCAATGCCGACTCGGTCGACTTTAGACTGCTTCACGGGCTCAATAGATTCTTCTTCCGTGTTGCATTGCGGAACTTCTTCGAGAGAAACCCCGAAGGAAGCTCTCTAAACCGGGCTTTATAAGGCCTACTAAACAATGGACATCAATATCATCAAGCACAACGCCCTCGTTCAAGCAAGAATCAAATGTTAGACAATTCATTCGATACCGAAATGTGAGTATAAAATTCCAATTATTTGAATGTTAAATGGTATTATAATTGATACCTTTAGACCTCCTTATGAGTATAATCTATCTCGCGTCGACAACGAATTGTGGGAACTTTATGTCCTCTCGAATCATTGCATTGATTCTCGCCGAGACACTAAACACACCGACACCGCAAATTGTGATGCTTAAATTAAAGCCACGTAGAAACTACAAAATAAACCGAGACAATAAGAATTTGTACAAATTGATAGGTGATAACAAGAAACAAACTATTCGAGAAATTGAACAAAAGAGAACAGAAAAGCAATTACAATTTCGGATTGAAACCATTCTAAAAGAGTCCCCATTTTAGACAATATGAAAAAGTTGAATAGTCGAAACAAATTATTCAAAAATATGAAGGAATTTCATGAGTAGCTGGAGATAAATAAATTGAATTTTAGTCCATTCTATTTCCATAAAGTTAGGAAATATTTCTTTGGGGTTGATCTCCTTAGAAGTCTGGAAGAAAGTTAACCATGGTAAAACCCCAAATTGGGAGCTAAAAAGGAGAAAGTTTGGACTAAATGCAGCTAAAAATTTGAGCTCATTTTCAAATCTCTCTTTTTAACTTTGAAGAGCCAAAGCATAGTCAAGATTAAGTTTAGTAACAAGATAAAAGATGACTTTCTCTCTCATTATTTGTTAATGTATATTGAAATAGAAATTACTGAAAATTTTAGTATAGATTTGCTTATATATGATTTTTGTGACTTAAAAGAACGGAGATCTCTATTTTCGAGTGATTGCATTTTGAGTGATAGTATTTTGAGATTATTTTAAAATATATGTTGGTATGCTATATATATATATATATATATAAAAAAGTTTGTGTAAACCATGAAAAATTTATAAATATTTATTTTAGCCTTTATAAACATTTGGTTCGGCGTTCGTCATCGCTTGTTATCACCCAACCCTAGTCGACGACTCTCGTAGCTAATCTTTCATAGTAATTAGATATTTATAGTAAATAATTATTTAAAAATCCTCTATTTAAATAACATTTTAGGACCAAATAATATTAAAATTTTAATTGTGCTATATACTTTTATGAATATTTAGATTTGTTCAAAAATTATTCTTTTGCAAATAAATATGTAAAATACAAAACCTTTTGATATTAAATGTAAATTTTAAAGTTGACAAAAATGTACGATGGAGTCACATTGATGGGAAGAATAATTAAAATATTTTCGATGTATGTTAAGAGTTTTAAGTGTCCAAATTTTAATTATTATTATTATTATATATATATATATATCTCACAAAATACTTAGAAGTTATAATGTTCATGATAAATTTAAAAATTTGCATCTTTTCCTCTTATTTACAAGTAAAAATAATATATTTTGAAAAATTAAATTAGAAAAAAAAATTAATGGAGAAATCAGTTACATTCACTAGGATCATAGCTATGCATGAATGCTAGAATGACTATTATTTTAAAATGAGTTTTATACATATCGAGATCTCATAAAATTCAAATTTTTTTAATTGAGATTCTAAATTTTTTCTCGTCTAATTTAAGAGCTTTACTCTTATGTTATTATTGTTTCATACATTAATATGTCAAATAAACACACGTGACAAGCTCTAGTCAATGACAAGTTGCCACATATCATGATAAGCTTAAATTAGGTGATTACATTGGTAACATGACAAGTTATCATTAATTAGAACTTATCGCGCATACCTACGTGATAAGTTATCATTAACTAAGATCCGAAACAACAATAACATAAGAGTGAAACTTTTAAATTAGACAAAAAAAAAAAATTAAGATCTCAATTAAAAAAAATCCAAATTGTAAGGAGTTTCTATACGCGTAGAACCTATTTTACAATTTTTAATTAAAAATTCATGAATAAAAAGAATAAATCATGTTTTTTTTAGTATAAAATTTATGAAAAAAGTGAAAAAATAATTAAATATAAAATTTTGATTGAAAAATTAAAAAATTAGATGACTAAAAAAAAAAAAATTCTATTGCATATATTTTTTGCAGACCTATAGTATAATACTAACCATCAAACAAAATAATTTGAATTTGAATTTTTTCAAATTATTTCACATGCTCCTCCCGCTCCGCAAATAGAAAACTAGTAACTAATAGTTAAAATTAGAAAGGTCTAGCTACGTAAATTACAAAATTTCAACACCATCTACGTGAATTCCCAATTATGGAGATTTCTCAGAGAAAAGAAATATGAAGGAAAGCGTAAATAGAAAGGCCTCCTTTGTAGAAATTATGATCTCTAATCATGTCGACGAAACCAATTTGAAGCAGGATAAAAAAAATAATGGGGAAAGGCTAGGAGCAAGGGGGAAATGACAATCAATCTAAGCCCATCTTTATTACTCTGAATACATCTACTCATACAAATGAAACATCAAGGAAATATGAAGGAAAAACTGGAACTGCCTCTACACAATAGTATACAATCTCAAATCCCGGCGAAAAAAAGAAAAAAAACTTTCAGATGCTGTTTTCCTGTAATGCAACTATTTTAGTATTGTATGACCAAGCAAACATTAATTCCTGATGGCACTCAATTCTTTGAGAACATGCCTTGCGTTAAAGAGGAGAAATCATAATCCTTTCCGGTTTGTTTTGAAGTACCAGATGAAATGGAGGATGTTGATTGGGTTTTACCGACTCCAGTGGTTGTCCCACCATTAGCGCTGGTAACTTGCCCCATGTTATAAGAGCTGCAGGCAACAAATGGCAGAAATATGAGCTCGAAATTTAGAACAAAAATCAGACAGGAAAACAATATTTAGAAGTAGAAAAGAAAAGCATCAATGGATAGGGATTCAAAATGTACTTCTAATGACAGCATTTCCAACAAGTTTTTTTTGACGGGCAACCTCATTTCACGAGTACAGAAAATAACAATAACAGTCCGAGGATTTTACATACAATGCAGTTATAATATAGAAATACAGGTGCTCAAGTAAAACTTGAAACCGTAGTGTTTTTCAAGTGACACAGAGCATCTATCCTGTAAGTAACAAAAGTGGGAAGAGGAAGAAATGTGGCAGCAAGCTTATGCTATAGCTTTCTCAATGCCGCGGTCTTCACTCAAACTAAGCAAAAATCTTCATGGAATGTTAGAATCGGAAGCAATTGAAGTAATTAGCAATTTTATACCTCATGCAAGCAATTTTAGATGCAATAGAAGACTGAGGAGAAAAGTGGGGAGGGAAGATAGCAGCATAGAGGAAGATGAAAAAACTTGGCATTTGATTTTTCAATTCCATCTACTTGAAAACTACAAATTCAAAAGCAGGTCCAGTTTTACCACTTTGGAAATGCTTGTTGGACTCCTGCCAAAATCAAAGGAAGATACAGCACACATAACAAGATATGCATGTCAAATATTCTCTGGCAGTCTTATATTCTACCCAACTTGACTCAATGCAAACATGCTGATCAGACAAAGATTAACCAGTTCAGCTGAAAAGCCACCCCAAAATCCCATGCACACCACCAATAAAAGGGAAAAAAAAAAGAAGAAAAAAGGATATAAAATTCATGGTTTCAATTCCAGCAGAGTTCAAAGCATGATCACTAGTTACATCTTTTCATAGACACAACAGAAGACTGGAAAACAAAATATATACCTAGATGTTGGATATGGTACAGAGCTTCCCCCTGGATGTGTCAGTCCTATGTTACCAGCCTAACCCAATAAAAAAACAGAGACATCAGAAAAATACTGAATGAAGATAATCAAGTATCAGAAAAAAATGAAAGTAATCCATTCCATAATATGCACCTGCATAAGTTTCTGTAAGTCACCGTCCCCAGCCACTGGCATCATCAAACCAGGAATTTGGTATCCGCTGTTTGGCCAATTTTGTGCAGGTACATTGATACCATTTGGCCCTTGCTGTTGAATACTGCCAGAAAATTTTTGGTCCCCACCAGCAGATTTTGATGCAGCAGCCATAAGAAGTTGCTGTTGCTGTGCCAGCATAGCAAGTTGCTGTTGATTCATCGCTTTTGGGTCCCCACCAGCAGATTTTGATGCAGCAGCCATAAGAAGTTGCTGTTGCTGTGCCAGCATAGCAAGTTGCTGTTGATTCATCGCTTTTGGGTCCCCACCAGCAGATTTTGCTGCAGCAGCCATAAGAAGTTGCTGTTGCGCCAGCATAGCAAGTTGTTGTTGATGCATCGCAAACGGGGAAACCATATTGGACTGTAAAATTTTGCAAACAAAATCATCAGATAATATTTCAACTCTACATTAACTCCAAAAAGCTGAACTCCAGCGTGAACTCAAACTAAAGTTGGTTTTTTAAGGAGGTGATATATGCGAACAAGAAATTGGGCATCCCGTTAGGATATAATAAATCACCGAACAAATCACCAAACAAAGTTTTGAGGAAAAGTTCAAAAGATGCATAAATGATGCCAAAGCATATACCTTCTCAAAAAGGCTCATTATATCATTTTTCACATCTTTCTGGGGTTTCTCCGAGACTGAAGGGATTGCTAAAGAAGATGAATCTTTAAATAAATCCTCAATTCCAGAAATGGATTGGGTATTATTTTCTACTGCTTTAGTTGGACCAGTTTTTCCAGTTGTTGATACTTCTTCAGCAACTGCTGCAGCTGCAAATTTTGGGAGAGTCCACATCGTTAACAAGAATCACTATGTGTGAGTGTGTGTGAAAAAGAAAAATCAACAAACTACACATAACAGATTATAGTAAGTAATGATTGTACAAACAGATGAAGACATACATTGGAAACCTGCCCAACCGCTATCATCATTTGCAGCTGCCTCCGAACCATTTTCACTAGGGCCATCCATGGAGAGCAAGTCGAAAAGATCAGTAGCAAAATCAACTTTGGGTGGAGAGACAGTTGGAGCAGCATCTGCAACCTTCTTTGCAGCTTCAGTGGCCTCCTCCATTGGCTCAGCTTTTTCAATAACCTGTAGAGGCTTTGCAGGAGTGACCTATTTGTTGAAAAAATACCTCATGCTCAAATATTATGCATGTAGGAACTTTTTTGGGAATGAAGAAAAAAAGTAATAAAATGTAAGATGAGTACAAAGTGAGAAACAGTGAGAATCATGCATGTAACCCCTACAACCAATCGTCATTGACTAAGAGACTCAGGAAACCATGGTGAACAGCAGAAACTAGATCAAAATAATTTAGATATGGAAAAATCCAATTTCAAATAAACACTGGGCTATTCTGAGATGTTATGCTCTAGGAGATAGATTTTATCCAATCATAACTGCTTCTTCATAATGAAATTTTTATGCCCTTAGGTCTTAGTATTTATTGAAGCTTTCTTTTCAAAACATAAAGTAAAGGAAAGAAACGATCAACCATTCCACTAGATACAAGAAAAGTCGACTTGAACAAAGAAGGTAAAACTCAACATACCTGCTCAGGTCCCCTAGGAGGAACAGGAAGACTTATTCTTGTAGTGGAAGCACTGCTCTTTGAACTTGATACTTGCAGATTCTTTCTCTCCTCGAACAAATTTTCAGAGCTGCTGGTGCGTCCATGCCCACTCCTTTCGTCAGTTCTCTGCCAATGCAGAGAAGACCTTTCATCCCGCCCACTAGGAGGAGATTGTGGTTTCCCATCTTTAGCGGCCCATCTCTTCTCTTCATACCTGAAAGGAAAATGTAACCATCAGGCACACTGCAATCATATGGACACACAAAGAAAATGACCACACAAAGTGGATTGAGAAAACTTGCTAGTAATAGAGTTCCAACTATACACATACTTTGCACGAATAAAATTCTCAATTCCAACTCTGTCGTAGTTTGAGGGTAAGTCTGCTTCCCAATAACTATTTGCTCTCTCATTCCCCATTGCTAACAAACAGCACAAAGCAGGCTATTTATTAAACCCAAAAAGTAAATGAAAATCAATCAGAATGAAATTACAAGTTGCAAAAAGCCAATGAACTTACATTGAATAAATGCAACCTGCTCTGGAAGCCATGTGTCAAGGGTTGCAGATCGAACCTGCAGAATAGAACCAATCAAAAGTCAGAACATCCTCAAGGATAATTGCAGTTTGATGTCTACTAAACAACAATTCTGAGAGGAAAATTAATAATCAAATTCAAGAGATATAGGCAACAACAAGATATAAATTCATTGATCAACCAACATTATTCCCAGTTACCATGCACATCAGAAAAGGAAAAGAAAAGAAGAAGAAAAAGTAATAGCACATCAATAATCTCATAATAGTAAATAATCAACATGAATTTGAACAACACACCATCTTTATTTCAATTTTCTGTTTTTATAATCAAAAGAGACTAATACAAAAACAATTTCTTCATTGTTTTCAAAAAGCAAGTCTTCATAGAAGATCTTGAAGATCTCATCTAATATCTTCCTTTATGCCCACAAGAAAGAGAAAAAGGAAAAAAGGGGGAAAAAAAGGAAGCCATTATTAAAGATTCTTAATAATATATTAAAAATTAATGATGGATTAGAAAGCAATTAGTCACCTTTGATATGTGCACCCCAAGACTTCTGTGGATCCCCGAACACTGCATGCATATAAAGATACCCAAATTTACGCTTGCCCATCTTGGACCTCTGCATTGGAAACAGGTTAACATCAGCAGCTCAAACAGCTAGTAAAGCAACAATAAAAAAAACTAACAGCATCCAGCTACTTAAGAAGATCCATGACTGTTGTGTAATTTTGTATGTTTATGTTGCTAATTATTTACTATCATGCTAATTATATCATATCCTTAAATTCTTCTCCTTACATACTTGGCTTTGCAGTCAGCACATTCCCTATTCTCAGGCAATTTGAGGAGTCCTTCCAATATCTGCATATACACAAACAGAAAAGATGGAATTTGAATCAAAACAATACACTGTTAAGAAATAAAGAGGAATAAATAGTATGCTTCTAGAATTGCAAAGTAAAGACAGTTAGAAAGAAGAACACAAAAAACGAAAAAAAAATTACAAACAAAAATCATGGTATACATCAATGACCAACAGCTCCACATGCAGTCATAAAGTCTAAACTTTGACATCTATCAAAATTTAGTAATAGATTTCTATGAGGTTCAAAAAATTGCTATAAGAATGGAATACATGATACGGGAGAAAAGATGGAAATCAATAAAGACTCTAGAAAACTCCATGGTTCAACTATGAATTAAATATCAGGAAGAAATCACATTTATTTCCAGCTGTTTATACAATAACTAATATTTAATCCCAAAACACTCAATTCTAAATAGCTCCACCAAAATGAGAGAATCAGACTGCCAACTTGGCAGGTTATGCATCCATACAGGTAAAGACTCGTCCACAAAAAGGCATACTCTATTCCATTTATTTCAAAAAAAATATCACTAAACACAAAAACAGCATATAATCCCTGTAGTTAGCACTCAAAATGCAAACAAATTCTAAGGTTGAAGAAACTCAATCCCTACTAACTTCATAATGCCACATTAGCGCTCATCAAAGATGAACAATAAACACCTACATTTATCACTACAGAAGAAACCAAATCACAAGCAACAAATTTGTACTAGGAAATTGATATAGTGGAACCTATCTCAATATTTACAAAATGCAACAATGTTCATAGCATTTCTTGGCGCTTGATTCCGAATTAGACCAAAATTTCTCCTCCCAAGATATAATTCTGAGAAAAATGCAATTTTAATGACTGAAAAAATCTTCTATACTTAGATCTCAAGATATTCCAGCACCGCAAATGAATCACATCATATCAAATATAAATCTCGCCAATCAAAAACTTGAAATTCACATCCCTAAAAAGTTAAATTCCACAAAATTCAACAAAATTAACAAAATCACCGATAATTAATCTCACAAATTATAGCCACAGTCAAGCCTTATTTCATCAATAACCAGAAAATATCAGATCAAATATATAATTACGCAGCAACAAAAAATCAAACGATCTAACTAATCTAAAAACATAACACACATCAGATCAAACCAATCAAAACTTCAAATCAATCGTCGTTCAATTCAAAGGATGATAAAATTATCACAAGAATAAAAAAGAAATCGAGATTAACTAAAAAATAACCAGAAACAGATTTCGGTCAAGAAAGGAAGACTAACCTTTCTGTGCCTGGCATTGAGCTCTTTAGAAACGTTGGCCTTCTCGTTCATGGTGACCGTACAATAACGGCCAAAAAGATGAAATTGGCTGATCGAGAGAGAAAGCAGAAAGAAAGTCGTAGCTACAAAGGATAGAGAAGTCGAGGTTAATTTGGTCTTTTTATCACCACTATCTCCTCCCCTCTCTCCTTCCCCCTCTGATTATTGGGCAATCCAACCAGCGAAATAAGAAGAGAAGGATGGAAAAGTATTTTACTTATTTACTTAAGCGTTTCCTTATTCTTTATTTTTTATTTTATCTGTTTATTTTGCTTTCCTTTTTTCCTTTTTCCCCTTGTATCACGTTTTTCGCACGTGTGAGAAGGTATTTGGTACGTGTGTGATGATGGGATTGAGTCGCAGACCGCGTGGGGGAAAAGGAATAAAATGGGAAAATGTTCTCGAAATAACGGTGGATGCTGAAGTTTCAATCCTTAATTTCAAATGCATCAGTTTGGGAATGACTTGTTGATCGATTACGTTTTTGAACATGAAATGCAAAAATTAGTTTGAAGTTACTTATACTCTAATCATTAAAAATACTATTTTTAAAAAAAATAATAACATAGTAATTATATATACACATATGACTTCAAATATTCAATAAATCGATTAAATAAACAAAAATTGTAAGATTAGCGGTGTTAAATTGAAAAAATATATTTATTTATTTTATTTTTTAAAATAAATATATTTATTTATCTTTATATAATATTTAAAAATTTTCATTTTTTTAAAATTTTTAATTACATTTTATTTATTTTTGAAATTTTTTTTGAAATTTTTTGAAACGTTCAATTTGTCTTTCTAATCAAGTATTCTGATCATAATTTTTTTTATTGAAAATGAATTTAATAAAATGTAAAATAAAATAATAAATAAAAATAAAATATTTAAAGTCACATGACCTATATGTTTTATTTTTTAAATATTTAAAATTTTATTTATTTATTTATTTTACATTTCAATCAAGGGCATTTCGCTGAAAACAATTTATTTAATCCAAAAAATTGATCAAAATAACATATTAAACATTTCAAACATTTTCAAATAAATATTTGATGAAATTAGAAATTTAGAAACATATGAAAAAATTTGATTATTATGTAAAGACAAAAAGGCATATTTATCCTCCTTTTTTTTTTATCTATTTTGATGGTAAGAGTATTATTGTGCTAGTTTATGCATGAATAGAGAATAAGTTTTGTTTTTCAAACAATTTTAATGATATATTCTCATAATGTATAAATTATTTTAAATATTAGTCTTGAGGTTTCAACTCATATTTTTTTTAAAAAAAAAAAACATTTTCTTAACTATCAAACCAACCATTAAGACTAAGGAAAACACTTATTGATAAGGCATATGTATTCATCTAACGTTTGGGCTTAAAAATTAGATTTACCTAGTTTTTATTTCCTACGTAAATGCTTAAGTGATTTTTTAACAAATACTAAATTGTGAATATATATGCTCAATTTGTTTATAAAATTAATTAAAATTTTAGTTAATTTATTATGTATTAATCCATGTTATTTTTCTTGATTTCGATGTGAGTCCAAGCTACTTAACAAACAAATTGGATTAAGGGTAGGTCTCATCTAGCACAAGACTTTAGACCGTACAAGGAAGAACACAAGTATTCTAGTAAGGCAAATGTCTATGTCTTGTATTTGAGATATATTAGAAAGATTGACTTGGTAGGTTCGAAGTAGGGTTTGATAAAGGAATGCTTAACAATTACTTTATTTAACCTTTGCTATCAAGTTGAAGCAATTTAGTTTAAAAAAATATGATTTCTCTAACTTAAATCTAACCATCCAAATACAAATGACATGGTACAATATTAACTATAAAAAATCATCCTCATTTCACAATAATTATCAACCTTACATCATAGTGAGGAGGATTTCCAACTTCCTTATCCTTAGGTAAAAAAACATTTGAACACTCCTTAAAGCTCTCATACTTACACACTAGATAATATATAAACTCAATCTATTTAGACTTTAATCACCCATCTATCTGCCACTCAACGTGTTGCTTGCTTCTCCTTCTATACCTCTCACTACTTGCATCTATTGTACTTGGTTGGTTGACTATTACTTCTATAAAGAATAATATTAACTCTCCGTATCTTGATTGGTATGCCGATCATTTTGATCGATTCTAAAAACCCCTCATACACTAAAATTTTGATGTGTTCCAAATGCATCAAATTTTATTTATTATTTTCTTATTGATTTTTATGGTAATGACAAGTCCGAGTCGAACCATAGAGACCGAATGATCAATTCAGTTTATTTAAATAAAAAATGGAATTTGCTTATGTGCAAAGCCAAAATTAAAAGTAATTCGGATGTCAAGGAAGAAAAGATTCAATTTAAGAAAACTTTAGTTCAAGGAGAAATTCAAACATTCAATTTGTTGATTGATCATCAACATCTAAATTACTACTTTTTCATTGAATGCTTAATCTAGATTTACCTAAATACTAGAATAAACTCTAATCTTCCCTAAATTCATTAACTCAAAACTCCGTATTTGAATTAAATTCTTATTATCGATTGATTTTGGTATTGATGCAATACGAGTCTAATCAATAATAACATTAAGAATTGAGAAGATAACTCGGATTGAACAACAATTTTATTTTTCTTTGGTAATCAAGCCTAATTTACTACTTATACTGACTTTTCTTAATAATTATGGATTAAGAGAGTTAGTTAGCTATTAATAACAATAGACAATCAACTAATTGACCTTTTTAGTCAATTACCTATGTAATCATGATTAATTAAATTCAAAGATCAATTAATTAAGCTCAAAAAAATAAAAGATACTTAAATCATAAAGAATAGTTTAAAGATCAAACTCCGTATCTCATAATTTTTTGCAAATTAAAGTTGAAATCCCTTGAATTGAATTGATGAAATTAGCTAGACATTATTTAACACAATAAACCTTAAATTATATAAAAGAAAGCATATAGAAAAGTGTCTCTAATATGTAACCCTAAAGGCTATTTATGCATGTAAAGAGATAAATATGATAGCCAACAAAGTCTTATTTTAGTTAGTTTCGAAATTGAATAGGACTTATTACCGAATACGACTCTAAGTTATGTTTTTAATTTTTTGAATTGATTTACTATTAAAAGGCGGTAGAATCTAGATTTGGGCTTTTCATGAAGATTGTAGGCCTAAATGTCTTCTTTTTATAAGTTTTTGAATCATCTTATTCTAATATGTATAACTTCGGATATGATCCAAACACTAAGCGAGTGTTCTAGACTATCATAGAATCCGAATTTCTTTCGAATTCTTTCCTAAATTTGCAATCGACTTTGACGACCTAAAATAAAATGGATTTATGTGTTCAAAACCAATCTTAAAAGTTAAGAAAACTTCTTTTACATTCTCAAGCTCTAAAAATGTGAAATTCTCATTTTTTTTCTTTAAAGCTCAATCTGCTGAATTGGAATTTTGTCTAAATTAACACATTTTTACTCCTTTGAATCTAATCATCTCCTCAATCATAAAATAAATTTAATTCAGCACATGTAATCTAAAATCACATCGAAAAAACTAAATATATGAGAATAAATATTATCAATAATACTCATTATCATCCACGAGACACATTTTAGTGATTCCACTAGAGAGTAGTGATTATGAAAGAATAATGGTCCCATTCAAAATCATTAAAAAGAATACTAATTTGGCAACTAGTTCAACCGAGTTGTAATAATGATGAAAACCTGTCCGATGGATAAGAATCCCGACAAAACCAGATCCGTTTAATATTAAGAATGAAAACAATCCTCAAAACTCTCGAGTAGGAAATAGACATTTACCAAGCATTACTAGAAGGTGACTTGTTTCGACCTTTTACCAATGCCCCTACCACGATTGTTACACGTTTATATCTTCAAGCCATGACCAAAATCTTGAGGATTTTTTAAAATACCTAGCTCATACTACAATAAAAACAACAACAAGTCTTTAAAGTCCTTAAAGATAATAATGTTGTATTTGCCCAAGCCTTAACAACATCATCCAACTACTTTTCATATGTGAACTTCCTAAGACCATTATCCCTCAAATTATGACGCCACCAACTATTAATAGAAAATTTAAAAGATGATCTAATGTTACTTGTTTGACTAAATGAAAAGAAAGACATGCCATATCAAATACCTACCATATAACTATACACAATCACCAACCATTTCATCACGTTGTTGATTCCAATCATTAATGTCATTGTGTTATTAAAGAGGACTTAAGCAAGTCCTTCTTATAAAAATTAGAAGGACTTATAACTATATACATCACCAACCATTTCATAACATTGTTGATTCTAATGATCAATGTCATTGTGTTATTAAAGAGGACTTAAGCAAGTCCTTCCAATAAAAATTAGTAAAATCTACTAGCAAGGTTAATCTCGAAATTTCTTATGCAGTCCACATAATTATGAGGCCTCATTCAAAGGACTATATGAGTTCTAAGTTTAAAGTTTCTTATGAAAAATAAAGAGACACTAAAGAGCATCTCATAAATTTCATAGAAACCTTGGGTGTTTATGAATTAGATGATGATTGACAACTATATGCAAGCTATTTATTAAGAATTTTTTTCACCAATGAAAGGATGACCATGTCTAACTTGGAAGAGAATGCTAAAGTTCTAGAAATGATTTATTGGAATATATTGAATGATTCAAAAACCATATTTTGGACATCTAGGAGGACTTTTATAAGAAAGAAGCTATCAAGCTATGTATCTAAATAGAAAGTATAGATACATCTTAAGAATTTAGGCTTGACCATTTTTTTACCTTAGTGGAAAGCACTTGTCCGACCAATAATTCCATTATCCTTTATAAAAGGAATGAATTCACCCTTACTATTATTGGTATCAAAAATGATCCTTCAGATGAAAGTCATCTAGCTAGACGAGCAACCTAATAAAAAAAATAAAGAAAAATTATTAAATTATCATTCTAGA